ATCCACGCTCCACACGCCGCACCTCCTTCCCACCTCACGCTCACCGCCTGCATCCACGATCGGCGCGGGGAGGAGTAAGGAGGAGCAGGCGTGGGGGGGATGACAGCCGCCGATAAGACAGGCCGATCTCAGAAACAAGTTGCTGGATGACTGCTCAGGTAAGTCTTCCCCTCCCCCCCCACATGGTGCTCTATAACGTATTGCTGGGATTTGGAGTCCTCTATAGCTGATGGTACATTGTGCTGTATATCATACAGAGGACTACAAATCCCAGCAATACATTATACAGCAATGCAAAATAAAACCACCAGATATAGAAGACTAAACAAATCCCAGCAATACATTATACAGCAATGCAGAATAATACCACCAGCTATAGAGGACTACAAATCCCAGCAATACATTATACAGCAATGCAGAATAATACCACCAGCTATAGAGGACTACAAATCCCAGCAATACGTTATACAGCAATGCAGAATAATACCAGCTATAGAGGACTACAAATCCCAGCAATACGTTATACAGCAATGCAGAATACCACCAGCTATAGAGGACTACAAATCCCAGCAATACGTTATACAGCAATGCAGAATACCACCAGCTATAGAGGACTACAAATCCCAGCAATACGTTATACAGCGCGGTATTGCGGCTCCCGGCTCGCTCCTGTGATGGACAACAATCTCAATACAAACTAGCAGTTCATCACAGGAGCCATTTAAAACAACTATTTTTATCCGATTAATCGAACTTAAATCGGCTAACTAATCGATTTTGAAAATAATCGTTTGCTGCAGCTCTAGTTAGAAGTTAATTTCTAAACCAATGAAAGCGCGACGTTTCCCCAGATCTGGAACATAACACGCACGCCCCAAATGATGACAATCTACACACAGATACTTCTAGATCATTGCCGGCTCTGTACTCTTTACATTCCTATTTCTCTTTTCTTCTCCAGTCTTCTGGGGGCAGATTACTAGCTCTCCCTTTACTTCCTGGAACTCTGGCACATGTGACCATGCAGATCATCTCATGGGAGGAAATGCCTTTCCCCGAGATCTCCCAGCAATGCTCTGCTGAGGTCACCTTCCCAGGATGCAACACTTGGGTACATGACATCATTTGTGCCAGAAGAGGACCAGGAAGTAGAGGAACTCCATTTGTGTGTAATGAACGCGAGATGATTTTATATCGGGGTGCAGAGCTGTACGAGGAAGAGATGCTTAGTGACGGGGGGGGGTGTTACACACTACGGGCCTCGGCCCCCGCCTCACACCCTACGGGCCCCAAGCCTTCTGGAACAGCCTTGGACAGACGAGACCACAGTGGAGAGGTTTGTCCATAATGCACAGCACCACGTTTGGTGCAAATGCCTCATACCAACTGTGAAGCACAGTGGTGGAGCGGTGATAATTTGGGCTTGTTTTATACCGAAGTATTCCAGAGTCAAATGTGAGGCCATCTGTCCCACAGCTAAAGCTTGGCCGGGTCATGTCACAGGACGATGGTTCTAGGCACACCCCCAAATCTACAACAGAATATCAAGGTGTTGCCAAGTCCAGACCTCAACCCGATTGAAATGCTGTGGCGGGACCGTGAGACCTCGATGAACTGAGGCAGCGTTGTAAAGAGGAGAGGGCCACAATTCCTCCAGAAGGATGCGAGAGAACAAAGACATTTCATCAGAAGGTGGACTTCGTTCTCACACATAATTTCTCCATTTTAGGTTTGTAAAAGAAATAAATAACACGCGTGTGATATGACACGTGTTGTTGGTTCTACTTTATTCTAAGGACCAGGTGATTTATGTCCTTAGAATTGACAGAGGGCGCACATTCTGGTCCCTGAAGAGAGGACAGGGGAGCCCCGGAAACACTCACCTGTAGATGTCGCATTCAGACAGGTTGATTTCTTCATCCACGGCGTCCCATAAATCAGGTTTCAGTGCAGTGAATTCTTCCCCCAGAGCCGATACCAGGCTGCTGTTCACAGCATTCACCACCTGAGGGCAGCAGTGAGAGAGAGTGTCAGCGTGACAACGCATTACCAATAATAACATGATGGGGGTTGTAGTCCTTCCCTACTCTAAAAGGAAAACAAACGGGGAGCAACATTACCAGCCAATCCCCTCATTTCCAGAAATGCAGCAGATGGGTGCAGTCTGGATATTTGGGGGGGAGGGTCAGAGCGACGTCCCGCCTGTAGAGGGGGGTCTAGATATTTGGGGGGAGGGTCAGAGCGACGCCCCGCCTGCAGAGGGGTCTAGATATTTGGGGGGAGGGTCAGAGCGACGCCCCGCCTGCAGAGGGGTCTAGATATTTGGGGGGAGGGTCAGAGCGACGCCCCGCCTGCAGAGGGGTCTAGATATTTGGGGGGAGGGTCAGAGCGACGCCCCGCCTGCAGAGGGGTCTAGATATTTGGGGGGAGGGTCAGAGCGACGCCCCGCCTGCAGAGGGGTCTAGATATTTGGGGGGAGGGTCAGAGCGACGCCCCGCCTGCAGAGGGGTCTAGATATTTGGGGGGAGGGTCAGAGCGACGCCCCGCCTGCAGAGGGGTCTAGATATTTGGGGGGAGGGTCAGAGCGACGCCCCGCCTGCAGAGGGGTCTAGATATTTGGGGGGAGGGTCAGAGCGACGCCCCGCCTGCAGAGGGGTCTAGATATTTGGGGGGAGGGTCAGAGCGACGCCCCGCCTGCAGAGGGGTCTAGATATTTGGGGGGAGGGTCAGAGCGACGCCCCGCCTGCAGAGGGGTCTAGATATTTGGGGGGAGGGTCAGAGCGACGCCCCGCCTGCAGAGGGGTCTAGATATTTGGGGGGAGGGTCAGAGCGACGCCCCGCCTGCAGAGGGGTCTAGATATTTGGGGGGAGGGTCAGAGCGACGCCCCGCCTGCAGAGGGGTCTAGATATTTGGGGGGAGGGTCAGAGCGACGCCCCGCCTGCAGAGGGGTCTAGATATTTGGGGGGAGGGTCAGAGCGACGCCCCGCCTGCAGAGGGGTCTAGATATTTGGGGGGAGGGTCAGAGCGACGCCCCGCCTGCAGAGGGGTCTAGATATTTGGGGGGAGGGTCAGAGCGACGCCCCGCCTGCAGAGGGGTCTAGATATTTGGGGGGAGGGTCAGAGCGACGCCCCGCCTGCAGAGGGGTCTAGATATTTGGGGGGAGGGTCAGAGCGACGCCCCGCCTGCAGAGGGGTCTAGATATTTGGGGGGAGGGTCAGAGCGACGCCCCGCCTGCAGAGGGGTCTAGATATTTGGGGGGAGGGTCAGAGCGACGCCCCGCCTGCAGAGGGGTCTAGATATTTGGGGGGAGGGTCAGAGCGACGCCCCGCCTGCAGAGGGGTCTAGATATTTGGGGGGAGGGTCAGAGCGACGCCCCGCCTGCAGAGGGGTCTAGATATTTGGGGGGAGGGTCAGAGCGACGCCCCGCCTGCAGAGGGGTCTAGATATTTGGGGGGAGGGTCAGAGCGACGCCCCGCCTGCAGAGGGGTCTAGATATTTGGGGGGAGGGTCAGAGCGACGCCCCGCCTGCAGAGGGGTCTAGATATTTGGGGGGAGGGTCAGAGCGACGCCCCGCCTGCAGAGGGGTCTAGATATTTGGGGGGAGGGTCAGAGCGACGCCCCGCCTGCAGAGGGGTCTAGATATTTGGGGGGAGGGTCAGAGCGACGCCCCGCCTGCAGAGGGGTCTAGATATTTGGGGGGAGGGTCAGAGCGACGCCCCGCCTGCAGAGGGGTCTAGATATTTGGGGGGAGGGTCAGAGCGACGCCCCGCCTGCAGAGGGGTCTAGATATTTGGGGGGAGGGTCAGAGCGACGCCCCGCCTGCAGAGGGGTCTAGATATTTGGGGGGAGGGTCAGAGCGACGCCCCGCCTGCAGAGGGGTCTAGATATTTGGGGGGAGGGTCAGAGCGACGCCCCGCCTGCAGAGGGGTCTAGATATTTGGGGGGAGGGTCAGAGCGACGCCCCGCCTGCAGAGGGGTCTAGATATTTGGGGGGAGGGTCAGAGCGACGCCCCGCCTGCAGAGGGGTCTAGATATTTGGGGGGAGGGTCAGAGCGACGCCCCGCCTGTAGAGGGGTCTAGATATTTGGGGGGAGGGTCAGAGCGATGTCCCGTCTGTAGAGGGGTCTAGATATTTGGGGGGAGGGTCATAGCGACGTCCCGCCTGTAGAGGGGTCTAGATATTTGGGGGAGGGTCAGAGACATGAAGCCGTGATAATGAAATCTGCCAGCAAGCTAAGGGTTAAACAAGGCTAAATCTCCTCCCCTCCCCTCCCCCATGCGTTGGAAGCACCCCCTGCCAGTGTTGGATGGTTCATTGGACCATTGGAAGCAGCCCCCGTCAGTGTTGGATGGTTCGATGGACCATTGGTAGCACCCCCTGTCAGTATTGGATGGTTCGATGGACCATTGGTAGCAGCCCCCGTCAGTATTGGATGGTTCGATGGACCATTGGAAGCACCCCGTCAGTGTTGGATGGTTCGATGGACCATTGGAAGCACCCCGTCAGTGTTGGATGGTTCGATGGACCATTGGAAGCACCCCGTCAGTGTTGGATGGTTCGATGGACCATTGGAAGCACCCCGTCAGTGTTGGATGGTTCGATGGACCATTGGAAGCACCCCGTCAGTGTTGGATGGTTCGTTGGACCATTGGAAGCAGCCCTCGTCAGTGTTGGATGGTTCATTGGACCATTGGAAACACCGCCTGTCAGTGTTGGATGGTTCGTTGAACCATTGGAAACAACGCCTGTCAGTGTTGGATGGTTCGTTGGACCATTGGAAGCACCCCGTCAGTGTTGGATGGTTCGTTGGACCTTTGGAAGCACCCCGTCAGTGTTGGATGGTTCGTTGGACCTTTGGAAGCACCCCGTCAGTGTTGGATGGTTCGTTGGACCATTGGAAGCACCCCGTCAGTGTTGGATGGTTCGTTGGACCATTGGAAGCACCCCGTCAGTGTTGGATGGTTCGTTGGACC